AGTAGCAGGGAACCTAATGTTAATCTCCAAGACCATGGGGAAAATGTCTCCAGGCCGTGCCAGAGACCTTCACCACAGCCCCTTCCATCACAGGCCTGGAGGCCCAGGAGGACAAAGTAGTTTCATTGGTTGGGTCCAGGGTGCCTGTGCTGTGTGCAGGGGATCTTGGTGCTCTGTGTCCCAGCCACTCCAACCATGGCTGAAAGGGGCCAATGTACAGCTCAGGCTGTGACTTGAGAGGGTGGAAGCCCCAAGCCTTGCCAGCTTCCACATGGAGTTCAGCCCGTGGGTGCACAGAAGTCAAGAACTGAGGTTTGGGAACCTCTACCTACATTTCAGAAGATGTATGGAAATGCCTGAATGCCCAGGAAAAAGTTTTCTGCAGGGGCAAGGCCCTCATGGAGAACCTCTGCTAGGGCAGTACAAAGGGAAATGTGGTGTTGGACCTCCCACGTAGAGTCTCAACGGGGTCACTAGCTAGTGGAGCTGTGAGTAGAGGGCCAACTCCACCAGACCCCAGAATGGTAAATTCACCAACAGCTTGCATCGTGCACCTGGAAAAGCTGCAGACACTCAACATCAGCCTGTTAAAGCAGCTGGGAGGGAGGCTGTACCCTGCAAAGCCACAGAAATGGAGCTGCCCAGGACCATGGGAATCTACCCTTGCATCAGCGTGACCTGGATGTGAGACCTGGAGTCAAAGGAGATCATTTTGGAACCTTAAAATTTGACTGCTTCGCTGGATTTGAGACTTGCATGGGTCCTGTAACCACTTTGTTTTCACCAGTTTCTCCCTTTTGGAATGGCTGTATTTGTCCAATACCTGTACCCTCATTGTATCTAGGAAGTAACTAGCTTGTTTTTGATTTTACAGGCTCATAGGCAGAAGGGACTTGCCTTGTCTCAGTTGAGAGTTTGGACCCTCGACCTTTGGATTAATGCTGAAATGAGTTAAGACTTTGGGCGACTGTTGGGAAGGCATGATTTGTTTTGAAATGTGAGGACATGAGATTTGGAAGGGCCAGGGGTGAAACAATATGGTTTGGCTCTGTGTCTCCATCCAAGTCTCATCTTGAATTATAGTCCCACAATTCCTGCCTGTTGTGGGAGGGACCCAGTGGGAGATAATTTGAATCATGGAGGCAGTTCCCCCATACTGTTCTCATGGTAATGAATAAGTCTCATGAGATCTGATGATTTTTATCAGGGGTTTCTTCTTTTGCGTCTTCCTCATTTTCTCTTGCCACCACCACGTAAGAAGTGCCTTTCACCTCCATGATTCTGAGGCTTCCTCAGCCATGTGGAACTCTAAGTCCAATTAAATCTCATTTTCTTCCCAGTCTCAGATATGTCTTTATCAGCAGTGTGAAAACAGACTAATACGTATGTATATATAAATCATTGTATATATAAAATATACACAAATCTATTCAAAGTTACAATTTATCAAAACATATCACACGAACACTTGCAGGTGGGACATGGCACCATCAGCAGTTGAGAGAAATGTAAAAAAAGGTAAACTTAAATCATAACTGCATACAATTAACTGTGGTACACAGTGTAGTAGTGTAATAATTTTGTAGTCACCTCCTGTTGATGTTTCAGTGAGCTCAGGCATTGTTGAGTATCCATTTAAAATGCTGTATGATGCTGATCATCTCTGTGTGACCAGTTTGTCTCTCCAGTAAACTGTATATGGCGGTATATAGCGATCTTTCATGGTTCTCAAGGATTTGTAATCATATTTAGTGCAATGCCATAAACCTTAAATAACATTCTGGGATCCATGTGAGGTGCCACTTGTGATGCTGTAAGTACTCTCAAAAAGCAGAGAAAAGCCATGACATTATAAAGGAAAAGTTGATTACTTGATATAATACCATCTCTTGAGTTCTGCAGCTGCAGCTGCCCATCATTTCAAGACAAATCAATCCAGGGCAAGGACCATTGTTAGAACAGGGAAAAAAAAAATTGTGAAGCCATCACCGTAGCTATGCCAGCAGGTGCAAAAACTTTGAACCCTTTGTGAAATACTTTTTAAGAATCTCATATTGAAAATGCAGCTTTTGTGGGAGTACAGGATTGCTATAAGAAAAGCATACCTGTAAACTCTAATATGATTCAAGAAAAGCAAAGTCATTATATGACAACTTAAAGCAAAACAAAGGTGATGGATCTAAAGCTGGAGAATTTAATGCCGGCAAAAAAAGACTAAATAATTTTAGAAAGTGGTTTGGCTTTAAAATTGTCAGGATAACAGGGGAAGCCGCTTCTGACATTCAAGAGACAGCAAAGTTCCCAGATGCCATTAAGAGAAGTCATTAAGGGGAAAGGATATCTGTCCAAACAAGTATTTAACGCAGACAATGTGCCCTAGACTGTAAAAAAACAAATGCCTCAAAGGACGTTTATTAGTAAGGAAGAGAAGTGAACACCAGGACTTAAAGCAGGAAAGGATGGGCTAACTCTGCTGTTTTGTGTAAATACAGTTGGGTTTATGATCAGGAATGCCCTTATCTGTAAAGCTGCTAACCACTGAGCCTTGAAAGGAAAAGGTAAACACCAGCTGTCAGTCTTTTGGCCAAACAGCAAGCAGGCCTGGACAACAAGAACCCTTTTTTCACTCTCCTTTTTCTTCCCATTTAAAAATATACATTATTCATAAAACTTGGCCGGGTATGGTGGCACTCACCTGTAATCCCAGCTACTCAGGAGGCTGGGGCAGGAGAATTGCTTCAACCCCAGGGGCATAAGTTGCAGTGAGCCGAGATTATGCTACTGCACTCCAGCCTAGACAACAAGAGCAGAGCTTTGTCTAAAAAAAAATAAAATAAAATAAAAATATAAATTATTTACGATTTGTCAAAACATAAAACATTTATATATTATATTTTTAAACGTGCTCTTATTTTATTAAATATATTCAATACTCACTATCAGTCCCTTTTTGGAGTTTTTCTAACCAATTTTTTTTTTTTTTGGCATTCTTGAGGAAGGGACAATGTATACAATAACCCCAGAGTTTAAACTTTTTCTAAAGTCTTCATATTTGAACAGCAGCTTGTTTGAGTATAATTTCTTAATTCACAGTTCCTTTGAGTTTTTTGAAATAGCTGCTTTTCTTGACTTGTTTGTGCCTGTACAGCCATATTTGCGAATATAATTGTTTTGCCTTTGTCAGTGATTTTATTTTGATGATTTCCCTTCGTCTTTAAAATATAAGGGTATTTACTAGAAAATGTTCTGGAGTCAGTCAGTTTTCCCTGGTACACAATGAGTTTCTTCAATGAATAATTCAGCTCTTCTTTTATTTTGGGGAGATATGAGACATCAATCAAATGCATTTGAAATGTTCTCCCAGTTCCGTGGAGAGTCCCGCTGGAATGGTGTGGACCCATCCCGCGGGTGACTGGGGCCTGTTCTCCCCGGGGCCTGACCGAGCCTGTGTGCACACCGCCCCCTGCTGGCGGCAGCGGGGAAATGAGGGCTGGAAATGCCCTCCCCGCAAGAACAATCCCCTGGACCTGCCGAGCAGCAGGGCCTTGGCCTTTCTTGGCAAGCTGAATCTGATCGGGTTCCCAGCTCTTAGGTGGTAAAAGTGCCTGGCAGCTTGGCTGCTGTGGAGGAGTCAGTGAGTCGTGACTGGAGGTTTATTGGCATGCTTTCGTGCAGGGTGTTTTGCCTTCACGTTAGCTTCCAGCCCCTCTCCCAGGCTGCAGACTCTAACCTGTAGCATCAGTCCTCTCCCGGGCCAGGAGGGCGCCTTCCCCCAGCATGCGGCTTCCCTGCCATTAGCAACCCTGGGCGGGCCAACCATATTCGAGGCCGCAGTGCTACGGGCTTAGCCCTCACCTCCCTCACTGGGAGCCTCCCCATCACCCCTGCCTTCCCCAGTGGGAAGTTAGGGCAGCTCAGGAGCCTGGGACCCCGTATGTCCCAAAATGGGATTGGAGGAGCTGGAGAGAAAGCAGAAGAGCCCAAGGAGTGAGGCTTAGAGCAGCCTCTGCTGTGATTTCCACACCAGGTCTGTGCAGAGGAAACAAACCCCAAACGGTCCTTACCCACCGACATCACAGCCCCTACAAAGAAAGTAGCCACAATCTCAAACAATAAAAGGGAATGTTCTAAAAACTTTTCCTTCCTTAAAAAATGAAAAAAAAAATTGCACCTGTGCTTGCTGTGTGGTATATAAACCAGGATGTATCCCAGAGTCCTGAGGTTGGTTTCCCATGGAAAGTTTAAATCGTAGAAGCTAGTCTATTTTTTATGTTTTTGTAACAATTGCTTTTTTCATGGGGAAGGCCGAGTTAGTATTTATAGTCCTAACAAGTCCAGTAATTTTTTATACATCTCTTCAGATTATAACCAGTCCCTAAAAACTTTACAACGTTTACATAATTTTTTAAAAGAGACTGTATACACTTGATTTGCTTTCAAAATAAATGATAAGGTCAGTTAGTTTAAGAGGTTAACTTCGGGTTAGAATGCTGATCACGATAGGTTTGATTTTCTGCAGATTCTGTTCCGGTACTTTTCCTGGCCTGGCACCACCCCAGAAAGCTGTCATTTGAGGTCGTGCTTGGAAGTTACATCTGTGAAGTTTCTGTCGTCATGCAGATCTGTGTGTGTCGCGTGAGCCGGGCAAGCAAAGCAGGGCTGTGCCTCAGACGCCCCGTCGCTGCGCACCCAGAGGCTCGGCTGGCTGTCCTGTTTTGATGTGTGTGGAGTTTGGGGGAGGAGCAGACACAGATCAACCTGTGGCTGTTCTCATGTCTAGGTTCTCACAGGCGTCTCCCGACAATGGCTCTGCTGGAAATGTCCATAAATAAAATGTCCAAATGGTGGGGGAAAAAAAAAAAAGGTAAAATTTGTTGTTGTTGTTTTTGTTGATATTGTTGTTGTAAGATGATGTAATTGATTATGGGACTGAACCTAGTATCTATTTGGTGTCACTGCTGTAAGCACTGTTATTTATTAGGCCGGGACAGACTGTGCCTTCAGTCTCCGGCCGTGGCATCTGGGCAACCTTCTTCCCACAGGCAGGCAGGGGGCGCCGGCCAAATCCGGCCCTGGCCCTGCCTCGTGGGTGGGTCTCCTGGGGACCTGGGCAGGGGCGGCCGAGGTCCAGAGCCGGGTGTTTGGGGACAGACCCACAGAGCACCTGGGTTCTGGCTCAGGGACGGAGAGCCCCACAGAGCACGTGTTGCTGCGTTACCTGAGGGCGGTGGCGGGGGGATCATCGCAGCGGCTTTGCCAGGCTGCGGGGCCGGGGCTTTGTTTCTTCGGTAGAAGACCCTGGGGAGTTTACTGGAGCGCTTGAGGTAGAAGAACCCAGCTACGGAGAGGATGAGGCCGGAGCTGGTGAAGAAGGTTCCCAGGAAGAGGGAGGCGGCCACGCGGGGAGCCCCGGGATGTGGCCGCCCGGGGGTCCCTGAGCTTCTGTTCATGGGGAACGGTGCAGCCCGGCCAGCGGAGCTTCGACGCTCGGAGCCGTTGCAGGCCGGGAGGGTTCCAGAACCTCCAGGACAGAGGCCATCCTCCTGAATGTTGACATGCCAGTGGGTGTGACTCCTCCTCCATTTCTCCTTCTCCCTTCCCTTTGGACAGTGTTACAGCGAACGTTTAGCATCCTGTTTTTGGTTGATAGTTAAGCAAACTGACATTACAGAAAGTGCCTCAGACACTACAGTACTGACAATGTTGAAGATATTATTTGCCTCTGTAACAATTTACGTATTCAGTTTTGACTGTGCTGCATATCATGTACCTCTCTAGTCAAAGTGGTATTACAAACATTCAGTGACAATGAATCAGTGTTAATTATAAATCCTTGATCCTCGGCAATGTGCTTGAAAACACAAAACTTTCGGGTTAAAAGCTTTAACATCTGTTAGGAAGAATTTGTCCTGTGGGTTTGGAATCTTGGATTTTCCCCCTTTGTGAATTGTATTGGCTGTTGACCACCAGACACCTGACTGCAAATATCTTTTCTTGTATTCCCATATTTCTAGACAATGATTTTTGTAAGCCAATACATTTATTCATCATAGAAAAAAAAAATCGTGTTTAGGAGAGCAAACTAAGGATGTGGCTAAGTGATCATTTACTAAGAAGATCAGTACTGAGAGAAGGAATTCACCAGGACAATGGGAGAATGAACCTACTGTGGTCTGAATGTCTCCTCCAAAAGTCACATTGAAATTTAGTTGTCAGTGTAACAGTATCGGGTGGCAGGAACTTTAAGAGGTAATTAGGTAATTAAGAGGGCTTTTTCCTCATAAATAGATAAATGCCATTATTATAGGAGTGGTTTAGTTGTTGCCAGAGTGGGCTCCTGATAAAGGGATAAGTTTTGTCCATTTCTTTCTGTCTTGTGTGCCAACTTCTGCTTTCCACCCATCTACCTACCACAGGATGATCATTGCCTGATGCCAGCATCATGCTTTTGGACTTCCCAGCCTCCAGAACCAAATAAAGTTCTTTTGTTTACAATTAAAAAAAAATAGTCCTCAATAGTCACACACATACATTGGGGTGAGCACAAAACATTTTGACTAGAGGGGTGCAAGCAAGCAGGTTTGGAGAGCGCTGATATGAAAGGGTGATGCAGGTCAGGTTCACAATAAATGATAAAATGGAGAAAAAGAGGGAATACAGCAAACCATTGGGTCATGTCCCACCTTGCAGCAGAAAGACGCTACATAGCTTGTTGCCATGTGAGAATGGGGGCCTAGGACTGCTGGGTGTTCAGCGTTCTAAAGAAAATGCAGACCTTTTAATTTTATGTGAAAGCTCCCTCCCAATTTCTAAATATTGGCCCCCATCATTGAGGAGGTGGATTAGGGGCCTTTGTTCCTCCTAGTATGTTTGTCTTTGATGTGAACTGTTTGGACTTAAGGACTTTGCTGCTGTTTTCCTGTCTTTTCTGTTTCAGCTCTTTGCTGCTTCACTTTTTTACAAAGTTAAATTGTAATCTGATGGTAATTAGCTGGCTTCATTATTTTTGTAGTACAACCAATATGTTCATTAGAATTCTTTGCATTTAATGTACGTTGGTACTGGAAAGGGTGTTTTGTTCCCCTCAAATAAATCAGCACTGCCACCTTCTGTACGATTTTGTTTTTTGTTTTTGCTTTGCAAAGACACTGCGAAGGGTGAGAATGTATGTTTTTATAATGTGTTTACTTAAATATGAAAAATAAAAAGTCAAACTTGAAAAACAAACAAACAAACAAACAAAAACCAAAAAAACCCACACATTTATTTCCATTGCAATTTCTGTGGCTGAGAAGACTTAAACTTTACAAGTATTATCCTTTTAAGATCATTTTAATTTTAGTTGAGTGCAGAGGGCTTTTATAACAAACGTGCAGAAATTTTGGAGGGCTGTGATTTTTCCAGAATTAAACATGCATGCATTAATCTTGCAGTTTATTTTTCATTGTGTATGTATATATCGCTTTTCTCTGCAGCACGATTTCTCTTTTGATAATGCCCTTTAGGGCACAACTAGTTATTGGTAACTGAATGTATCTTAATCATTATAGCTGCTTCTGTTTTTTCATTAACAAAGGTTATTCATATGTTAGCATATAGTTTCTTTGCACCCACTATTTGTGTCTGAATCATTTGTCACACGAGGATGTGTGCCGATGAGATTCTAAGTTTGTGTGTTTAAACTTTTTTTTGAGCGAGGGAAGAAAAAGCTGTATGCATTTCATTGCTGTTTACAGGTTTCTTTCAGATTACGTTCATGGGTTTGTGTGTATACAATATGAAGAATGATCTGAAGTAATTGTGCTGTATTTATGTTTATCCACCAGTCTTTGATTAAATAAAAAGAAAACCGGAAAAAAAAAAAAAAAGTTTGTTTCAGAAAGAGAAAGGCAGGAGAACTCAAAGCCAAGATTGGGCGTTAGCAGGAGAGGGGCACTTTCAGGCTATAAGTAGATTTTAAAATTTTCTGGTTGACAGTTGTTTGAGTTTATCTAAAGACCTGGAATCAGCAGAAGGGGGAGTGTCTGGGTTAAGATAAAGTGTTGTGGAGACCAAAGTTTTTTTTGTGCAGAGGAAGCTTCTAAATAACAAGCTTCAGAGAGATAGACTGTAAATTTCTTATCAGACTTAAAAAGGTGCCAGACTCTTAATGGATTCTCTCCTGGATCCAGAAAGCGACCTAGAAAAAAGGGAAATGGGGATTCTTTACAGAGAATCTTATTTTTCTCCGTAAGAGATGACTTTGCAGGGCAATTTCAAGATAACGGCAAGGAAATATATTTTGGATTAAAATATTTTGATTTCCTTCCTTATTTGTTATATGGTGTTATATTTGTTTTTTATTTGTTATGTGATGTCGGGTTGGAAAGCAGGCCATGTTATATAGGGTTAAATAAAACCCCTCTGACAAGACTTCGTGGTTTGTAGGGCGGACTCAGCAGGCCTCTTAGGTAGGGATTTGGGCAAGAGAAGAAAAAAGGTCAGAGTTTAGTCCTCAGGTGACATTAATTTTCTTTTTTAAACAACTCCATTTAATTAAGTCATTTGACAAATTTTGGAGTATTTTTTCTATTTCTTTAAAGATGGTCATAAATTTTATTTCTGTGGCAACAGTACGTTTTCCTAATTATGTAAAATTTGAAATGCAAGTTTGGAACACTTTATGTAAAAATTCATATTTTTGCCCAAGACCAAAATAGCCCAAATTTACAATGTACCACAGCCATGAGAACCTAGGAGGGACTGACAGTAGCACGACTGTGGGTTCACAGGTAAAAGAGGTCATCATTAACGTAACCGGTACCGTTATATTGTTTGATGGCTTCTTTGAGATTAGTTCCTCAGTTTATTGGTTTGACATTTTCCTTTTTCTCTATATTATGTGTATTGACTTCTCTTCTCTTTATAGATGCTGTATTTATGTCTCCCCAAAATCAAAATATTAAATGTATCTATGAAATTATTTTATTTTTCTGAGTAAATCATGAGGATAAACTATTTTTCAATTAATTTTTAATACTACTTTTATAAAATTATATTCATAATATGATGTCTTAATTGACTTGAAAGGGGCTTGAACTGAAATAATTTTAAGGTTACAAATATGTGTTATTACTTCAAGTCACTGAGCAATGAAAATACAACCGCAAGACTGACTCTATGAAAAAAATAAGATTTCTTTACATTTCAGATAATTTGTAGTTGCCTGCTTATGAAAGCTGATTTCTTTTTAAAACAGATTTTTACTTTGGATTTCATATTGTCTCATATTCTTAATGACATTTATATTCTATGCCATAAAGAGGAAAATATATCAATTGTAACAAATATTCTTTCGATTAATGCTGTCTTTCTTAAATAGGGGGATTGACAAAATTTTATCACAGCACATGTAGTATTTGGAAAAGAAAGAAAACATTAAGTCATTAAAATGGGAAGCTAATGTCTGTGGAGCCAAGGAGGAATTCAGAAAGCAGGCCACTGCTCTTAGATAGAGATTCCTTGTTGAGGCTATTTTAGTTTTTAAGAAAATTATTATTTTTATTAAATTTTTTTTGATTCAACTCAATTGTCAAGTAGTACTCTAGATTGGATGTCACAGACACTCTGCTGCAAGCTGGCTAAATAATTAGGTAATTTACTGGCTAACAACACTGGAAATCAAAAGGATGAAGTTTATTCAGAATTGGTCAAATTTAGGAGTTCCAGCCTCATTTCTCTGGTGTCTAATACTGCTTTTTTTCCTGGGAGGGATCTGACCACTGCTGTCTATTTTCAATGTTACAAAACAGCTCCATCAGTTCCAGGTCTCGAATACACAAGGCACATCATCCAGAGCAAGAGAGGCTTCATTCCTGCCAGAATTCTCTTTCAAGTTTCTGACATTCGTTTTAATCAGACCAGCTTAGACCACACGCCCGTCTTGAAACAAGTCCTTTGGCCAAAGCCCAGCACACTGAGCTTCAGTTTCTGCACCACTCCAGGAGATCAGGGTGAACTTTGCTTTCCTAAAATTGCATGGTATTCCAGCAGCAATCTGTGGAACTTCATATGGAACTGTATTAGTCCATTTTCGTGCTGCTAATAAAGACATACCCAAGACTGGGTAATTTGTAAAGGAAAGAGGTTTAATTGACTCACAGTTTAGCATGGCTGGGGAGGCCTCAGGAAACTTACAATTAACGGTGGAAGGGAAAGCAAACACATCCTTCTTCACATGACAGCAGCAAGGAAAAGCGCAGAATGAAGGGGGGAAAGCCTCTTATAAAACCATCAGATCTCATGAGAACTCATTCACTATCATGAAGACAGCATGGAGATAACTGCCCCCATGATTCAATTGCTTTCCACTGCATTCCTTCCATGACACATGGGAATTATGGAACTACCATTCAATTCAAGATGATGTTTTGGTGGAGACACAGCCAATCTATATCAGGGACATAGAATGAGTCCTATTAAGACAATAAATAGATGTCCGGTAAAGCTCCACAT